AACAATTCGCTACAAGAAAACAAGATGGAAGTTAACATGTTAACTGTAACCAAAACTAAATTAAAAAATAATTTACGCTTTTTTTTGAAAAAATAATAAAATTTATTGACGGTTTGTTTTCCATCTGCTTCACAAAGACAATGACAAACTTAGACAATTTCAATAATTGTATTATGAAGATCTGGATTTGCCCTTTAGGAGGGGATCCAAAAGTGGAATCGGGTCAAAAAGGTGTCCATTAGATAGAGCTCGACGCGATCTATCTTGGTATACCATTTGTGTGCTTTGGTATAACCTGTAGGCGAATCCGGGTGTGATATACCTGGAAGATCCGGATTCTGGCCAAGATTCGCCATTTAGGAGGGGATCCAAAGGTGGAATCGGGTTGAAAAGGTGTCCATTAGATAGAGCTCGACGAGATCTATCTTGTTATACGGTTATTAGATTTTGGTCTAACCTACAGGCGAATCCAGGTGCAGTTTACAAAAAATGCTTGTTTTTTTCGTGATTTTTCGTTAGTTTTTTAAACTTTTTTCCATGAAGGGAAGGGGTTGGGAAAAAAGTAAATAGTGGAATCGATAGAACTCGTCAAGATCTATCTTGGTATACCCTTGCCAGTGTTTGGTATAACCTACAGACGAATCCAGTTACGGAATACTCGAATCCCGCTCCAAGATATCCTAGGTTCTTTTTGCATTTATTAATGTACGCTAAAATTTTAGAGCAAGTGTTTTTTTGTAATTTAAAATGGTCATATCTGAGCTTCTGTAATCGAAACGATAAATCTAGCCTGACAGTGTATGTGATATTTTGATTGAGACTTGTTCGATTTAGTCCAGTTTATCTTACTATAGCGTGTCCTGTGAATTGTTTTTTCCGATCTTTAGTTCTTAACTTTAAATTGTTTTTTGGTGGATACCATGTCTAACCTACATACCCAGTCTTTCTCTAGGAAAAGACTAGGTTATGTGAGCTATGACGATTGTAAATGTAGGGATAACGATGAGTTTCAAGGACGTAGCAGAACTCTAATTAGTCCTCGATAAGGATTTGTTAAGATTGTGGCTATACATATGAGATCTGTATGTTTTGAAGGAATACTCGCCATTTACCGTAGCACTAGTTCACTTGGAACTATATATATTGATTCGCTTTGAATATAAAAATGAGATTAATGAAGAGTAAGATGTGTGAAAACGTAGCTGTAATTATGATATCTGTGTGTGTATGACGAAAAAAGTCATTCGAAATTTTTCACTTATCTGAATTCTAATTTTGTATAAAAATCTTTGAACTTTCCTCAACTATTTGGATCAGGATATTTGTGTTACAACTTCTATGAAGATGCATTTTTTAAAATTACGTTGAATTATAAAATGTAGGATGTGGTAGAGCGTTCTGCTTGTGCTTCACCCACGTGTTTGCTTTTAGTTCTCTACTCATTTAATGCACAAGACAGCATCTATGATGATTCTCTACTTTTTTTTATGTGCGTATGCCTGAATGAAAGTATCTTACACTCTTCATTGCGTTTTCATCTATTTTTATTGTGTAACACGTGTTCTTTTCATAGGTGCAGTATATATGCTGCAGTAGTAGAAAGAAAATAAATATGAGTTTTCTTGTAAATTTCATGTCTTGTTTTTTTTTGTGTGATTTTTAGGAAGATATGGCTAGTAGCAATACTATTGAATCGCTCATAGGAACATGGGATCATGTAAATATTACAAATGACTTGTATTATTCTCATCTCACCATAATATCCTGTTGCATTCTAATCTTACAGGTTCGCAGTGAAAATTTGGACGATTTCTTGAAAGAGGTGGGTGTTCCTATGCTTATTCGTATGATGGCAACACGTTCGAATCCACGTGTAGTAATCAGTGAAAAAGATGGTGTCTGGACAATACGTACTGAAACAATATTAAAAACTCAAACAACTACTTTTACTCCTGGTGTTGAATTTACAGATACCACTCCTGGCGGACAGCAAGTGCAGGTAAAGTTTCTCGTCTCACATTTTTACTATGAAATGCTTGCATCTATATTGATTCTTCTTTTTATCTAAAACCATTTTTTTTAGACACTTATTGTTTTTGAAAATGGCACGTGGATTCAGAGAATAACAGACCCGAAAGTAAAAGAAACGGTTGTAAAACGTTTTGTTAATGACCAAGGACTGCAACAAGTGGTAAGTGAGTGTTATTTTTAATCATGTTTTTAATGCTTCATTATAGGAAATGACTTGTGGTCCGGTGAAGGCGTGTCGTTGGTTCAAGGGGGTGAACTAATAAACGCAAACTGTAAACAATAAACAATCTTCTTGCTCTTTATGTGATTTTAATTCTCACAGAGGTTCTTATTCAGACTCTCCTTATGTTGATCCTTTTTATTTTGAAATAATGTAAATCATGTTTCAAATCTACCCCCATCCCACAAGTCAAGAATGCACTCTCATGTTCCACATCTATGTCTACAGTTTTTAATTGCTATTTGCTTTGTTAGAGATGTCAAAAATATATTCTATTGTACCGTAAAAACAATAATTTAACAATGAACATTTGAGTTTGGGTGTGGACCTTGGTAAGAAGAGTATTCATAGAGTATGGGTGCAGGTGAATGTCGATTTAGATAAGCATTCAAACACTCATACCCTAATTGGTTATGTTATTTTAAACGCAGATGTAGCGAATATGACATTACAACTCATAAAAATGGTAGAAACCGATTCTATGTTTTGATCGGGTAGACTATTAAATGTGAGAGAATGTGGAAGTAAAACGTCAAAGAATACTTAAATCTTCTATCGAACAATCAGCTGTATAAACTTTGATCCGTAAGGTGCTTCATATAATGCACTTTTTCTTCTGAAAATCAGTTTCTATTCGAAAAAATCAAGATACCCACTTGGCATAGCAGTACTGGACGAATTGGGTGTGGGGTGGATGTGGATGTGGGTGGGTGGATGTGGAATGTGGCTAGGGTGTGGGTGTTGATGCAAGACCTTGTTCCAGACCAACACCCACACCCACACCCTTAAGTACCAAGAGCAGCTTTGGCATAATTTGTATGCATAAAGGTTGCACTTTTTGACTCTACGAAACCTCATCATCTGCACAAGATGCCATTAGGAAAACGAAGCTTCTAATGCTGGATAATCCACCAATCCGTTGTGGGCACATTAAATTCACCGTCATTAGATCCAAAAACATTTACGTGTACCTCGCGATATTTTCTGCAAACTTAGAAACATTGGATCAATGTTCTCGCGTCATACTTAAACAATCATTGAGAATCATGCTTCACATAAGCCCTTATATAAAAGCAAAAACCTAACGTAATATCCATAGTCATTCAGAAATAGATATGAGAAGCTAAGAGGTTGATGCGACTCTTCTTATATGAGCCAAGTAAACAACGACTCGCACCGATCCACTACCTGTTGCAGTTCGACCTAATCAAGTTACACCAGCATCAGCAGCATTAAGAAAAAAAATCGGATCAGATATGATACTCGACGAACTAATGAGTAGTCGTCGTTTTTTGTGTATATGTGAGTGTAAATCGATATTAGTATTCTTCAGTGGTGATATCTGTGATTGGCTGTATGGATTGATGTAGCTTTGTCGTTGCTTAGCTGTGTTTTTGTCATTAATTCACGACCTACCCCTGATTGGTTAATTATTCACCATTCAGAAACCTCATTGGTTGAGATTGGCATACCCAAAATCTCTGAATGGTTTCCGAGGGTGTGGCTGTGTGGGTGTGGGTGTGAGTGTGCATGTGGGTGGGTTTTGGTGTGGATGTGGGTGTGGGTGTGTGGATGAAGGGAAGACTTACACACCAACACCAACACTCACGCCCACACCCATTATTATTTCCCACATCAATAATCAATCTGATCTTCGATCTACTTCTCATAGTTCAAACATATCAATGAAAACTCTTCGTTCTTCGTTTATTTTCTACGTAAGTCGTTAGTCTAATTTAGTCATATCATTTGACAAAATATCTAAAAAAATTCTTTTATCGTCTTGATTACTGCCTAGTAAATATCATCGTAGAACTATTCTTTCCTCAATACAATTTACTTTATCGAAAATATTTAGAACTATCATTAGTACATTGCAAATCAAAAGAAAAACTGTAAACTCCTGTAAAAGCTTTTTTAGTGTTTTCAATAGCCACAGACTTTGTTCTAGTAGTATGTAAAAACATTAGGCACGAAAAAAACTTTTTGTTTCTATGCAAAATACCTCGGCATTTGTCAGGATACATCTGAAAGAAAGAAAAATCGAAGAGATCTTCATTCTATCTTGTATTTTTGTTAGATTAATACAAAGAAATGAAAATTTTCATTTTATCCAATTCAATGCAATACATTCTAACCAAATTATTGACTAAATTTGCATCAAATTCAAAATCAACAAATGATCAAATATCTAAAAATATTCAGCTAGTTATGATGGAGATAATATTCTGGCAATTAACAAAACAAAATAATCAACAACTTCCATAGAATATAACAACAATTAATGATACTGAAGAATCAAAACGAGAAGTTCAATCAGAATTAGCGGAATTATACCGAAATGTTCGTGATCTATTTACATCAATTCATGTGATTAATATGTTGAGTAGTCAAACAAAGAAAATACATTCTTTTGATGTGTTTTACAAACGATCAAGAACTTTATCAGGTAAAGAATGTAATCTGACTCGAGACGAATTTGAAAAATGGAATCATTATTTTCATCTAACTGTTGATCAACAATTGATAAATTTTATGAATAAAGATCGATTACTTGGTGATTCATTTGCCAGTTTTATTCAGAATCTTCCGACCGAATCAGTAGAAAATTCGACATTCTATAAAGATTATCCATCTTTATTAAATATTCCAGCTGATTGTGTGTCGAATTCGTGCTAGATTTCTTTATCAATTAAATCGATTTGTGAAAAATATTTTCTCAATGATTGACTTTAGCTTGTTATCAGATGAAAGTTATTTCTTAGACAGAATTCGAACAATAAAATTCTATTCGTTACATGAATTACGTTTATTTCATTAACTGTGTTTAAAACATAAAACATTACCATTGAAGATTAAATGAGAGAAATTAAACAATTCAGTGATTAAAAAAACTAGGCTTTTCTAGCAATGAATTGTCCATGGGTATCCATGAGTCGTGCCAGTTTAAATGCAAATGTGATGATAACCACCTGTAAAAAATTAAGTAAAACACACAAATTGAATGAGCAAAGCAACTCACAGTTATGGCAAATACATGAAACCAAATATTTATTATGTAAGTCACATATGTAAATACCATCCCAACAAAATTTCCATAGCTTTGAAAGTACAATTTGACACGAACCAAGTGATACGCGATAACTACAATAGCAGTAATAATAAGTAAAATGATACTCAACCATCCATACTAAACATTAAGAAAAATGAAACAACGATTATTTTCTCTCGTCAAATTATACTAAATTATTAAAAAACATACCACTCGTAAACCTTTTTGGTGATATTTGTGTGTAACAAGAAGTCCAAATCCATAAAACAGAATAGAAATAATAGCTTCAATAATTTGAAAACGTTCGTCCTTTCGATAGAAACCATCTGTAACTGCCCAACCGATGATGGACATTATTAAATAGACCACAGCAAATCCCTATAGGATATATCTACTTAATATTAGCAGAAAAAAAACACTGAGAATAGATTCTTTGTACTAAAACTATATACGTAGTTTTTAAAGTAGAACAAAGACTCTCTTTTACAAATTATTTTTCTCGAAATACAAGCTTACCAAGGAAATACAGAGTAAAATCATAAGAAATTGTCGAATTTGTTTGATTTGAGAATGATCAGGCAATAATAACGGTTGAACAACAGGAATATCAATACTATCCACCATATCTACATTTTCACATTCTTCATGGTATTGCATCACAATAGTTTGAATAGTTATTTTCACTTTCAAGTAAACAAATTAATAAAGATTTCGCGTGAGTGAAAATCGAATAAAGGAAGAATAAGTATGAAATTCGATTATGTTTTGTTCCCATCGATGAAAATTTCTATCAAATAGATAAACTAAGATTGGATTGATGGTGCCAATGAAATACGAGAACTAACTGATAGTTTTTTTTTCGTGAAGAAATATATTAAGTATGATTCGTTGTTATGTGCATATAACCAAGGGGCTAGTAATTCAAAAATCGACTAAAATGTTTTTTCAAATATTTATACATGGTTAGATAGAGCTCGTCGAGCTCTACAAGGTAAATTCCATTTTCGCCGAAAACAAAGTTCGCCGATTCTATTTTCGCCGAAAGAATTTGGTCACCGAAAACAAATATAAGATGAGTTTAATCATGGGTGTGGGTGTGAGTGGGTGTGGGTGTGGGTGTGGGTGTGAGGTGTAGGTGTGGGAGTGTGAGTGTATAAGGTATGTGGATGTAACTTGACGCCCCTGTACCTGTGGGGTGTGGCTGTCCGTTGTGGGTATCAGCACATCATCTAGACCCACATCCACACCCTCAAGAGATTATTCTTTTATTTTGATTATTGATTTATTTTTTTAAAGGCTTAATTCATTCTAATCAATGGTATAACAATTTATTATTCAGTAGAAACACAAAAAAGTGAAATTGTTCGTATTACTTCAGAGCAACGACATGAAATTGAAGTAATTCTTAAAAAACGTTTTCGTTCTATTGAGCAATTTAGCTGCTAAAGAAAATAGTATGATGTGATTATAACGAAAAAGTTTCCTGTAAGCTTCATTTGATTCTTTATGAAAATTAACTTTTTAATTAGTTGAAAGATGGTGAAATCGACTTTTTCATCACTCGGAATACATAATCAAAATGAAACACAAAGAGCAGTGAAAAGAATGTATTTATGTTTGGTCATTTGCTTTGATTCTTATCAAATATTAAAACATTTATTATTGTTTGTTGTTTAGTTTTTTGGTTGATATTGTTAATAGTCAATCATTATGCTTCTTTGTGGATTCGAATCGATTGTTGTCAAAATAGAATTATTTGTCTTAATGAATTATGGAAAATAGAGAAAATCGTTTCACATATATTTAGAATGATATAATTATATAATATATATAAAGAATTTTGTTTTGTTTTTTGTTATTGAAGAAATCTGGAGATGAGTTAAGGAAGAAATTGAATGAGGAAAAATAGGTATAAATTTAGTTTATTTGAATAAGAAATAAAGAAGAGTAATAATAAGCAATGCGTTTCGAATTTTTTCTTCGTCAGGCTAGACACAGATTAATGAGAGTGGGAAAAAAATATGAAAGTGAGGAAAATATGAAAAAGAACAAAAACGTGTATACAGTGGTCGGACAAAACAAAACAAAGAAGAAGAAATATATGTAATGATGTGACGAAAAAAGAGATATAGTGATATGATAATTGTTCATGATATAGTGGAGTATGAGACAGTCTTAATCACATTGATTTTAAGTCATGTAGTCTATAAGTTGTATAAGTTATGAGGTGTGGAGCAAATCGATGATATAAATTATGATACATGAAATGAATAAATGATATGTGAAACGAGTAAATGATTTTGATATTTGATATTTTTTGTTGATATGTGATGATGTGTTTGGATTGTGTCATTGTACGAAAAAAGTCAAAATGAATTTAATTGTGTCATGATGTGGAAGAATTAAAAAAGAATTTTGGATGATCAATTGAAGAGAATTGTATTATGATGTGGAAGGCTTTAAAGAGTTGGATCATGATGTGGATAAATGGAAAAGAATTGTAGATTTGTAAGACAAGTAATTGATAGTAATGTTGATGATGGTGAGTACATAGTGAGTACGTACGTGTTTGTTATTGTTATTAGGTACTGAGAATTTGTAGATATTGGGAATTCAGAATTGAAATTTTAGGTTTAAGAATTGAGATGATCAAAATTGAGCATTAAGAATTTGAAAGTAAGAATTAAGATGATAAAAAACTTGAGCATTTAGATTTTCGAATTGACATAATAAAAAAATGTTTTTTGAGTACTTAGAATTTGAGAGTGAGAATCCATATAATGAAAAAATTGACCATTTAGTATTGGAGAGTAAGAATTTAAGATAATAAAAGTTGAGTTTTAGAATTGAAATGAAATGTAAGAATTAAGAATTGAGATGATAAAAAATTGAGCACTTAGAATTTGAGAGTTAAGGATTAAGATGACAAAAACATTGAGCATTCAGAATTGGAGAGTAAAAATTGAGATAATAATAATTGAACATTAAGAGTACAAGAAAAATCCAAAGAAATTGTTGTGGAGATAGAAAATTAAGAGTTGGGAAGTAAGATTTAAGAAGTCCTGGAAAAATTGGATTACATCGTATTGGAAAGAGGAAGAAAAACAAAACAAAAAAGTTGAGCAGATGTAGAGGTTTACAAGTGATCGACAGATTTTTTATTTTTTATATTTTTTTAACAACAATTNNNNGATTTCTTTCGATAGCAGCCTTTGGCACCCTTGTGATATGAGCACGTTTCGCTTGCTGGCTTGCTTCCATCACATTTAGGGTCAGCTGTATAACCCATAAAATCATTGTTCCATGTTGTCTGTACTCGGCACGGACATGGAGGAATCTGATTAATATAGAAAGAGGCATCTGGTTGAAAGCGGAGCCAAACTGAACAATAATTATCACGGATGAACTTCTGTGCTTTATAAATACGGAAACCCCACTTGATTAACGGCACAACATACCGTGTCGACTGTGCCGCTGAAACAACGTCAAAAGTAATGCCTAATGAGTGAACACGATTTTCGGGTTCACCAATAGTAGGAATTATGGAGTCATAACGAATTGTTATATTACCAATGTATGACAGGTTAAGATTTGTCAGACCAAGTTCAACATGCAGCTTAATAGGATTGTAGAGTGTTCCGTTGTTTTCATCCTGTTGGGCTGCATAGTCATAGACGCTTATTTGAAACAAGTATTTGTTTGTGATGGCATTGGAACGAAACCTCATCGTGAACTCATCATTATCATTGTTCGCTTCGGTTAATTGAGTCAGTTCAGCGTAGTTACTTAATAAAATTTCAGCATTATCCTCAGGTACAAATGTTACGAAATCAGTGCCAGCTATTGGATGACTATCGTTGTTAGCAAACAATCGAATTTGAATTGTACCGCCAAATACCATTGGCATTATGCAAATAATATAGAGTGGAGCATACAATTGACAGTCCGTGAGGAGTTGCCCATCGATTTCAACCTGATATGATGTTTCATTGAAACATATACCGTGCAATCGTAGTTCATAACCGCCATACAGTGATCCACGAGTTGGAGTACTGAGGAAACCACCGTTAGTCTCACATTCAACATTACTGATATTGCCGGTAGTATGAAAGACATATTGACCTGGCACTCCGATGTTCGACATGTTCACAATTTTAATCACATCGGGAGAGAATGATAGATCGAGAGTAAAATAATTGATTTGATCACCAGCATTAAAACCAACCTGTGGATATCCACCCCACCTTCCATCTGCCCATTCCAATTGATAGTAGGTAAATAATACAAAAGAGTAAAGCCCATTTGTGGTCAAAATAGCTTGATAAGTGTTTCTTCCAGGATAACCATAGTGTCCAGGCACGCGATACCACGTGGCGACAAAAGCCCAAAGCATCGGGTGCACTGCTAAATTGGGAAAACCAGTGCGAACCATCGAGGAGATTCGAATCAGTGTATCTGTGTCTGCTGTATTTATCTCTCGATAGAAAATATAACTTGTTAGATCTTCAGAGATGTCAGTGTCAGCCCAGTAGGGTGCCACACATACAAATTCTGGTATTGGGAATTTTCCTGGTGATTCATGGGGTACAACGTATGAGCGGTTACCAAAAAGGATCAGGCCATGACTTGAGAGTTTGATTTCATCATAATACTGGTTAAAGTAAGGAAATCGAGAACTGATCATTATGGGCGAAGTCATTGCATCGAGATCACGATTAGTAACTGTGTCTCCTTTGTCAAGGCCGAACGGAATAAAGTTTGGAATAGTTGGCATAGGCCTTGAGGTAGAAGATTGACCAAGTACGCCCAGCATGGGCAAAAGTAGTATACACCACAACATTTCGTTTTTCTAGTTGATGAATATATAAGCGATATCTAAACATTTAATTTCAAATTAAAGAGTTTTCCAATTGAAACAACTTAAGGGAGACTTATCCTCCTCCCCCTAAAGTTTCGATTTTTTTATCATCAGTTTGTAGAGCGAATGAAGCTGCGTATACTTTGAAGTTTTTTCAAGAGAGCCCCGTTTTGACAGACTTACGGGTCTCGCAAGTTACATGTCATTTTGCACCTCCAGGAGGTAAAATATTTCAAAAATTTTTCGCATAAAACATTTTAATCTAATTTTTATATGGTTGGATAGAATAACCAAAATTGTGTTTAACCCAGGGGGGAAATCACGTACTCGGAGTGCGGGAGTACTTCTGGAGTACAGGGAGTATCGGGAGTACACGGGAGTACAAGGAAGTACATGGGAGTACAAGGGAGTACATGGGAGTACAAGGGAGTACATGGGAGTACAAGGGAGTACATGGGAGTACATGGGAGTACAAAGGAATGCAAGGGAGTACAACGAACGTAATAATTTATTCCGAATATTTTTTGAAAAAG